AAAGTGATCAATTTGTAGGTGGTCTCCTGTGGGAATAAAGTCGTAACCGAGTAAGATTAATTTATCAAATAAATTTTCACAAAGAACACTGGGATACTTGGAAATGACTCATGAAGTTTGGTTATGATTTTGTGCAAAATGTGCTAACTGATTGGCTCTTCAAATTAAATTTTTTTTTTATTATGGCAAGTCCTCACTTCTCAGTCAAATAAATCTCACATACTATGATAAGTTCATCTGTATGTAAGTATGTCTTTCAAATTGGGCAATATTTGCTATAATTTCTATACCTGGACTGCTAATTTTGAATCTTTTTTTTGTTAGAATATTTACTAGTCAATTAAAAGATGTCAATCTAAATTGTATAGGTTCACTTATGAAAAATTGTATTATACTGTTGATGTCATTATATGCAAGGGGTTTTATTTTCTGAACATTTTTAGAAACAGGTCCTTGTCCAGTGGAGGAGTAGCTATATGAAATGCACCATACTTTTAATCTTTTAAAAAATAGGTCTATGGTATGTTATAGAATTTGGACCTGTTATATAGTTAATCTTGAGCAATCAGTTTCTATAAGCCAAACAACTAGGTCAAAGAAATGTACCCAATTTTCCTAATATTAAAAAGAGCTTGATAGACCACAGTTATGTTGATTTGGGGGCATTGTCAGAGGAATAAATGGTTACGAAAAGTGATTGCTAATGTTGAATTAGCTTAAAAGTAATGAAGAAATCTGCACTTCCCTTTTTAAAAGGAAATATACATTAAGCCAGATATAGTAAAAGGGCACATAATTAATTTTTTTAATATAGAAAAAATTTCCATACCATGAAACTTCCTATCATAAAGTGTTTATGACATACTTAAGCTTCCTAACTTCTTCCACAAATTCTCAAAATGACCTATTTTTTTGAAGAGTGTTAATCTTGGATTTCTGTTTGGGGCCATCATACTTATTATTACTGTTTACTAGTACTTGTATAAAAAATCTTAATGCAAATGGGTCCAACTATTTTTGGGGGTACTGGTAGGTAGGCCATGTGGTGAAAGACCAAGTCCCAGCTTAGCAACATTCTCTCTAAACAGAAGTGGACACTCTACTGCACATAGTTATATCAGTTTGCATCATGTTATAATGCCTTTGCCACACAGTATAACTAGAATATAGCACCATGCAATGCCATGAATTGAGAATGAGAGATCATCTCCAGGGGAGAAAATAAACATCTGAGAGAGAAAAACAAAAGCAAGGGGTTCAAAGCTGGTGAGACTAGCTTTTCCATTTTGGCTGTAGCTAAAATGCTTATGGTTCTTTTGTTTTGGAAACAGAAATACATACCATATTCATGTCAATGCCGTTGGTGTAAGTCCATGCATGTTGGAAATATTCTTCAAGCCGTTGTCTCAGCGGATTAGGAATTTGGTGAAAGCGAATGAACTCTTTTACTCGCAGCATCTGCATGTGGTACCTGGCAGTTCCCGAGTATAGTCTTTGGATAATGGCAGATACATTCCCAAAAATGCTTGCATACATTAGTGCTGGATTGAATAAAAAACAAAGTTATGGGGGAAGACTGAATTTTGGGCATATTACATCTTGTCAGAACCTCAAGTATGTTAATTTTTATTTCTCTCAATCCAGTTAGGAGGATTTACCATTGGCCCTTGGAGGAAAAACATGGTCAAGCCAATGCGGCTTTAAATTTTATAATTTTGATGGTAAATCTGGAGAGGAAAACTCTCTAAATTCCTGATGGATTCTTAATTAAATTTAAGACTCAGGTTGTTTACAATATCAACCTGTAAGCTGGAGTGCTGATTATAGAGATACAATGCATTTAGAATAAATATTTTGTTTGTAGAGAAAGATAGACTACATCTTTGTTTTTTGTTTGTTTTTTGTCTAT